GGGGAGGGGGACAGCTGTTTACAGTCTGCTTTATATCTGACCCTGGTGTCAGACTGAATTTCCTGTGGAGAAGTTCTTCAATTTCTAGGATTCAGGCCTAATAAAAAAAATGAAGAAAGCCTGCAATGTGAGTCCTGAAAATGTACATGCATATACATCATCACTGCACCTCTTCATTACCACAATAAATGCTAATCACTTACAAAGGTGGAAATGGACTTTAAGGAAATAATACAACAGGAAAAACAAATAGTTTGAGGTCATTCTCTAGCTTCATAAATAATAACAGCAGTTTGCAGGACCAGAGAGGTCTTCTGTGCATATTTATTACAAGGCAAATAGGGGTACGTAATGTGCTATGGAGCACTGCAAAATAAAATTTTTCTTCTCTTTAATTACTGCACAAAAATGAAAATCACATCCACTAACACAACATACACAGTGTGTTGCCTGGCTAGCTTATTCTCAGGGTCTTTTCAAAATAGGAAACTACTCACATGAGGGTTTTATTACAACATAATTTGGAATATAAATTACAAAATCAATATTTGCTGCACATTGCATAAGATACATCGCAGTATACAAGTAAAACATGGAACTTCTGTTTAATAAACAATTAAAATAAGCATTACAGAAATGTCAATCATATTTTTATGCATCATGTTGACTTGTGTTACATGGAATCACTGAGGATGGCTTATATTTTCCCATGGAATGCTGAGAGGCCCACACTGTATTTGCAACTATCTCTGTACAACTTTTAAATGAGCAACTTATCAAAACCATTTATTAGTTTATTGCCCACTATTTTGATTTAGGGTTTGCAATACTATAGTATCTTCCAACTTCCAACTTAAGTCTAAAGTAACAAATAATTCCATGTAGATCACACATCAAGAGAATAGCTCAGATACTCTCATTTCCAAAATGTTAAAAGAATCACCCTGTTTATTTTACCTGTGATAACATTTGCAAACATGCCCCAAGAACTTGATTTGGAAACAATGGATTATACCACAGACTCTAAATCACTTTCAGCTCCTGACATACAAAAATATATTTGAGTTTAGAGCTCAATTCCAGGCAAACATTTTATTTAACAAACGTTTTTCCCAAACCTGCGTGAAAAAAAGCAGCTCAGGCTACAATACTCACTGGCAATCTGGAGCTGGGGTGTACTGGTGCAGAGAGCAGTGCGGAGGTCATCAAGTCAACACAGTTTTCTGCATCAGTAAGGACTGTCCAGCCTTGAGAAGGGAAGAGAAAGAGGATCCTGGGGTATCACATGACTGGTCTGAAGACTTTAACAAAGTATTTTAACAAGCCTTAGCATATCAAGTCTCACTGGACTTGGCTAAAAATAATCTTTATTAAGCTTTGTGAATTGATCCTCTTGTGCTAATTATGAGTAAATACTCCAGCCAGAGCTTTGTTAGGATTGAATATAGTAATGAAGGGTTTGAAACTCAGTGTGTCTTCCTGGAGGTATTTTCCCTCACTTCCCAGTTTTAGGGCTAGTTCACACCAGCTCCAGTGCATTGCGGCCCGTTTCGGTCCAGTGTAGTCAGAAAAAAATGCTGCATGCACTATTTTTTCTGTGCGCACTGGACCAGAACGCAGGCATTGATGTGCACTGGACTGGAACACAAGCATTGAAGTTCCGCTGCAGGTGATCGCACTGTGGGCATGGCTGCGGTGCCATTGACTTCAATGCATTGCCACGTCCCCTCCCGTCCCAGGATGCAATGAGCCGGCCGGGATGCGATCCAGTGCGTTCCGGCACAGCATCGGGCCGGAACACACTGTGGCTGGTGTGAACTAGCCCTTAGTGCCAGGAGGCCAGAAGGGAAAAGCTCCCCAATATGAACACAGACCACAAAAAAAACAAAACCCTAAATTTGTAACCCTTCCCCGCTCTACCAACAAATTGCATTTATATTGTAGTATTTGTTCCCATTAAAGATAAAGGTGGGTTCCTGTCTCATCCTGTCTCAGTGACCACTATCAGTGGTGCCGCAGTGATTGGAATCCTCCCCAGGAGGAAAAATGCCCAAACTAAAAACTTGACGATGTTTTAACCTCATCTCACACTACCCATAATCCATGTCACTAATTATAAAAACTAAACAGGCTCTGACAAACCACTGTATAAAGCAATACAACCTAAAATAAATTTAGAAAACTTACAATCAGTAAGGATATAAAAAGGTGTTAACTGCAGGAGAGCTAAGGAAATCCATTCATTTGGGATGTGTTATAGCACACAAACTATCATATCTGGATTAGCAGTTTTATTGTATCTGTACCTGTAGCAGTTAGCTTGGAGGTTATATGACAGAATAAAATGTTATATGTTATATGACATTATATGACAGAATAAAATGCACAGGACTTGCTGTAACTGTTTCTCCACTAAAGAGGTTCTAAACCTTTCTCACTATCAAAAAAAAGGTTTGGCTGAAAGTTAAAATTACAATGTGTCTTGCGCTATTCACTTTAGCTGAATGGCTTTTCTTTACAATACCCTGCATATTGCAACTGAATCTGATCTTAATCAGGGATGAGTTCAGGTTCAGACAGAACCCAGTCCAAACCTGAACTCCACCAAACAAGGAAGTGCAATGGTGGAGAATTCCCCGCAGCAGCTGATTGGGTGGCATGTAAGGAGCTTCCTTCTATAATCAGGAGCGGCTCCTTCTGGGTTTGGAGGAACTCCGGTTTGGACTGAACCCGGTTCCTAATCTTAATAGGATCACTGATGTTTGTGTGAACAATATTTGGACACAATGTCAGGAACATGCACATGATGCCTGCAGGCACAGGACACAATAGCTACAATAGCTACTTCGTGTTTGAAATATTGTTGAGCTGTGATGAGTTGTGTTGCAGGTTAATATATCTCAGCTTAATCTGGAGGGGAAGAACAGGGAAACAATCTTGTTTATAAATTGTAAGCATGTACTAAACTCTGGAAGCTATGCCCAAAAAAGGAAGCAGAGGGAAAAGGAATAGTCCCCAGTTTTGCTTGTGGTCTCCCTGCAGCTGATCTGTCCCCATTATGGACTTCCCAAGCTTTATTCTGCACTGTGTCTTTGTGTGGAGGCAGCCATCCTGCTAGAGGCAAGTTTTTGCTTCCATATGTCGGAGCCTCCCATAAGGAGAATAGTGAGCAGCACAGTGGGAACATCTTCAATTCTCCCGAAACCAGCAGTCAGAAGCATCAGTGCCTTAGATCTGGCACAGCAGAGATACAGCTGTGAGGCTATAGGCACACTCTTTCCCAGTCTGTAACTAAACAGTAAATAATAAGCAGAATGCTGATAAGGTTCTTTTCCTCCTCCTCGTGATGTCCTTTCCACTGCCACTCTGATTGCCGCAGTGCAATGAAGCCGATAACAAATCAAATTTTGGCACTCTTGCTCGTTTAAAACACACAATGATTTTTAATTAGTATTTTATTACATTTCTTGGTGTTGATCTATATCTGTTTAGAATCCAGCTTTAAATTATAACTCAATAGAAAAGATCTTGCTTTGTCACATACAGTATATTAATTGCAAACATTTTAAACCACTTCCGTGAAGATCTTCACCGCTTACTTCTGCTTTGGATATACTGTATATTAAGATAGGCCTTTCCAATGGACATGAAGAAAGAGTGCCAAGTTAAGAGGTCTCCTTTTATTACAATCACACAATCAATCGCAATGTTATTTAAAAAAATAAATAAAATTCTCCCAGCATTCCTATAGAGGTTAAGCAGCCTCGCCAAGTGTTTCACCAAAGATGAAGCCCAAGGTTACTGCTGGGAATGCCTGCAATTGTAAGTCAGACTCTATGCAGTATTATAGAAAAGCAATGGGACAATGAATGAGACAATTACAGAAGACAGGTTGAGAATTCTGGGATGTCTTTACTACAAGCAGTGTACTTTTGCCATTGTTGCAAGAAAGATATATTTTGTAAGAATTGTTTTGTTAGCTTCAGATTGAGATTTAAAAGGTAATTTCTTAAATCATGAGAGACATACATGGCTGCCATTGCTAATCCCCTTCTCAAAAGGTTTAGTTGTCCGGTTGTGTCTAGGTTCAAAGCTTTTTGAGTCACAGAGCTAAAAAAAGCATGCACCAAATGAAGCCAAAGTAAAGGCACCGAGGGTTAGTATGGCTAGCATTTGCAGAGAGAGATCAGTAAAGGCACACCCTATGTTTTGCTCATGGCAGCTTTTTTAAATTACAAAATGTCCTTTTCTGGTCATTTTAAGATATATACAATTTATTTGCAAATTAAAGTGACTATTTTGTGATTAGAGGCAAAAATATTTCTAGCCAATATTAAATCAATGTGCCCATCAATGGCAAGATGTATATAAAAATATTTTCCACAACATTTCTGAGACAGCAAGCACTAATCATGTACAGTATAAAATAAATTTTTACAACTTTAGACCTACTGTGTTTAAAAAAAGTGTTTCCACCTCACCCACTAGTCTGTTTTCAGATAATGACATGCTAATAAAAGAAAAGATGTCTAAAACAGTAGCTGTCTGTTGTATGTGAAATAGTAACTATAGTCTGCACAAGTTTAATAGTAGTTAAAATGTTTTACAAGTGTAATGTGTGTGAAGGCAAGTTATAATGCTCCATTGGGCAGCCTTTGCTTCTTTCATTATTTCCTCAGTCGCTCTTTGCTGTGACTTCTCTGGAACAGAAACTGTAGTATATTCTACAACCCACAAACTCAATTTCAAGAGCTAATGAAATGTGTAATTAAAACTAGACTTTTATATACTTGTGGAGATTTGGATTGTATGGGAAGCTGTGTGTCAAACTCCTTAAATATGCTGTAGTAGAATTTGATCAGCAACCAACCGGACATGAATAGTTTGCTTCAAATAAAGTGTAGGAGATAACTTTTATGAAGCCGTTTTTATGTAAAAGCTTACATTGCTGGATCCATGACATTACCATCAGCCTTTGGCACAATTAACAAGGTTAAAAAGTAGCAGTTAAAATCAAACATGTCCATACTTTAAAAATTGTGCTGTTAGGGTACAGCCACCTCAAGAAGGCGATTGTTTTTCCTCTTGCAAGTGGGGACATTGCCATTCTTTTGAGTTCCTTGGATGAATTTCACACAGACCTTGTCCTGCTTGAACTGTACTAAGAACCTGTGAAAGAAAAAACAAACTTTTAAATGCAATTAAACACAACAGCAAAAATGAACAAGATGGAGATTCAGTGTGTGATACTTCCTATAGGACTTCAAATTGCTGGTTTGCATCTCAGCTCAGAGCCAATCTCTCAAACATCAATATACAGAAATGGTGAATAGGGTGAACTTCATGCTACAGCCTGTGATTGCATTAAGCAGATATGAGATGTAACATGTACACCAAACACAGATATCTGTATTGCCTTTCAGTGTTCTTGAAAAAAAACCTCATCTTTTCAGGAAAACCTATTCTAGCTCCACCTAAAAACTGTACTTTTACTTTGTATCACTTGCCCCTCCCTGTAGATTGTAAGCTCTTATAAGCAGAGCCCTCCTAACCCTCCATTACTGAATTGTATTGTAACTGTACTGTCTCCCTTTATTTTGCAATGCTTGGCTCTAACTGTTGGCGCTGTATAAATTCTGTCTTACGATAATAAAAATGATGGTGGGTTGCATCACACAATGGCTTCTCAGGTAATCAGTTAGATCTTCCTACTGATGAACCTGGCTAGATCATGGTTGGAGATCTAAGAATCCTGCCATGAAATGAAATGCCATGAAATCTCACTCCTTTACTACTTTTGGCAAGGAGTCGTCTTGATCCCCCGGCAGTAATTATAAACAAAATTCAAATACAATATTTTTCTACCTAAATTTTTTTAAAATATATACTTTATTATTTAGCCTTAAACATAATAAAGAAAAGAATATTTATGCAAAATACTATTCACTCCCTTTAATAAAAAAAAAAAGACAGCAAGGAGTAAGAGCCTTTTGAATTGATCACAGATTCCAACAACTCACTTCTTCAGACTACCTTACATTGCAAATTCATAGCTACTCAATTCCACTGGTTTGTATATTACAGCAATTTTCAACCAAGATATATCTTTCTCCCCAAACCAGCAACATATGTAATTTATATGAAACCTTAACTACTTATCTGTCCAATTTACCATTAATTTTTTCTCCTTTGTGAGCAGGACCCTTATCCATTGTAACTTGTTTTATTGCTACGATTACCATGCAATAAACAATACTGTAGCACTTGGAACATTAAAAAAGGCCATGAAACTTAAAAGGAGAACTATGGGGTCAGGGCTTTTCCCCGTAGTTCTCCTTAGGGTAACGGGAGGACACAAACTAGCGTCCTCCCGTCACCCTAAGCTCAGTATACCGCGAGCTACAGCTCGCGGTATACTGAGACGCGGCAGTCGGAGCGGATCCCGACATCTATGTCGAGATCCGCCCAGCTGCGTGAGTGACAGCTGGCTCTGCCTATCTAGAGGCAGAGCCAGCTGTACCCGCCCCCTCCCCCGTCCTTTCCGCCAGTCAGCGCTGGCGGATCGGAGCAGGGAGGGGGGAATCCAGCCC